CCGTTGGGGCCGTTTCCTCCCATTTCCCCCCCCTCCTCCCCCTCCCCTTGTTCCTGGAGGGGCCGAACCGCAGAGCTTTGGGGCCGTTATCAGCCCTACCGGCCCTGATGGCAGCTGGCCAGGGATGGTGTGCTGTTCCCAGCCCGAAGCCTGTCCCAAATGTGTCCCAAACCTGCCCAGATCCTGCCCCAATCCTGCCCCAAACCTGCCCAGATCCTGCCCCAATCCTGCCCCAGATCTGCTCAGATCCTGCCCCAAACCTGCCCCAATCCTGCCCCAACCCTGCCCAGATCCTGCCCCAGATCTGCCCAGATCTTGCCCCAAACCTGCCTGGATCCTGGCACAGTCCTGCCCCAAACCTGCCCAGATCCTGCCCCAGTCCTGCCCCAGATCAGCTCAGATCCTGCTCCAAACGTGCTCAGATCCTTCCCTGAATCTGCCCCAGATCCTGCCCCAAACCTGCCCCAAACCTACCCAGATCCTGCCTCAAATCTGCCCCAAACCTGCCCAGACCCTGCCCCAATCCTGCCCTGGATCTGCCCAGATCCTGCCCCAAACTTGCCTGGATCCAGGCATAGTCCTGCCCCAAACCTGCCTCGTATCTGCCCAGATCCTGCCCCAAACCTGCCCCAGATCAGCTCAGATCCTGCTCCAAATCTGCACCAGATCTGCTCAGATCCTGCCTGGATCCTGCTCCAAACCTGCTCAGATCCTGCCCCAATCCTGCCTGGATCCTGCCCAGACCCTGCCCCAATCCTGCCCCCGATCTACTCAGATCCTGCCCCAATCCTGCCCCAAACCTGCCCAGATCCTGCCCCAATCCTGCCCCAGATCTGCTCAAATCCTGCCCCAATCCTGCCCCTAACCTGCCCAGATCCTGCCCCAATCCTGCCCCAGATCCTGCCCCAAACCCAGATGCTGCCCCAAACCCACCCCTCATTTACCTACACTCACAGTGGCTGCACCCCCCTATTTGCACCCACACGTGCACTGACCCAAGCACGAGCACACACAGTGACAT